TAAACTGACCTTTTCCAATCCCGTGGCCACTGTTGTGTTTTCCAAACTTGCTGGCATATTGCATCAAAGGTCCATTTGTTTTTTAAGTGAGTTCCGGGCGCCCTTGGAGTTTCCCCAGGAGTTCCTTTTATAGGGAAGATACTATTGTTCCTTTAAAGGTGCGAAGGAATGCCCACCCTCTAGGAATTCTTAGAAAAGGTAATTAACCGGGCACCCTACTGAGCTGGGGTTTCTTGTGTTTGCCTTATCAAGTATTGTCTAATTGGAATGTAGATCCCTTTGGGGAAGAAATCTTTTTGTGATTATGGCTTCAAGGAATGTTGGTCCTTCCTACTAGATCTTTCCTTATTTAATTTTGGGCTGGGGTGGAGGACTCTTGATTCTTCCTGCTATGTTTTTAATCGTTCTAGGTGAGCCGATTCTTACTATAATTTAATCATATGCCTTGATTGCTGTTAAGATAAACAATGGTAGGGTGAGACAAATGGGAAGCTTTGACTTCCTACTGACATGGGGAGGGGGAGAGAATTTGATTTCCTTCTCACACCATTAAAACAAAATAAAAAACAATGGGGACATGCAGCTATTCAGATCCAAAAAGGAAAAGGCACTTTAGATTAGGCATGGGTGCATTCAGCATGCCTGTTTGCCTCTCTTGAACTCAAAACACCTATTTTCCTGGTTTTGCACAACTAGTGAGACCCCAGGAAAATGAACCTTCTTTAAGAAGGTGCCTCTGATAGGAGTAAGCACACTCACAACAGATCCTTCCAGAGCATCTTTTCTGCTGCACACCCCTAAAAAGCAACATACAAAAATACTGCAGAGAGATACTGTACATGACTTCAGCATTTTTTTAAAGAAAAAAAAAAAAAAGCATGTATCAGTAAGTACTTAAATTTGAGGCCCCATTTGCACTTCAGGCACAGGACAAATGGCCCTCCAATTCCACCCCCTCCTCCCTTTGAATGGCTCTGCTAGGCAATCTTGGAAGGGGGCGGTTTCCATATGGCATGAATATACAACTTTGGGGTGAAGCCCTGTTTCTTTGCAAGCCAATTCCATAGAGAAGACATCTGACATAACTATGACTCCTTCCCACTTCTTGCTATTTTTAAACCCCCCAGTTCTGAGGGCAGGAACTGAAGGACAGGAGAAAAGCATGTGAACAACACAATGAGGAAAAGAACCCCTTTTGAGTGTTGCAGAGTAATGTGGAGCTTTTGACTCCTTGCAAGGAGTCACCTCCACACTCTCTGCATAGGAGAATGCTGGAGCTGCTTTGTGGATCAGGCATGTACTTTTCCACATGTGTGATACTGCTCATAAGCACAGCTTTATTCGAGAGGACAACCTACCCCCACCCAGCCCAGTTACTCAGGCCTAAAGTCCACAAGTCTTGGGAAGGGACACTCAGCTACATTAACCAGTCTGCAGACATTTTTTAGTTAATATTGTAAATGTTCATTAAATTTTTGTATTGGAAGTTATCCTCAACAGTTGAGTAATGAATGGAAACAAAGTCACCCTTACATTTATGGCACAAACTGTGGATATAAAACTGATGCTAAGTGAGATAAACAGCAGTTACTACTTGGAACTGTTAACACTGCTTCAACTAGGCAGCTCCCTATGTATTTTGGGATGTAATTTGAAAACGCAGCACGGATGGTCTGTCTTTTACAAATAATTTAGCCAGTTGAAGGTCTGCACTTGGGTTTTCTATTCTTTTATTATAACTTTTAGGAGCATGTGTTCAAATTTTACAGACTGGATTGGATAACACATACAACAAACAGTAAATGTTCAACAGTAGTGTATGGCACTTTTATTTCCCAAGTTTCAATAAAATG